CAATAATCTATTGAATAGAAAATTGGGTGTATATATGCTTTGTCCAATTCTTGAAAGAAACAGTAGTACACTTTACAATGGCTAGAATAGAAAAGAAAAGTGGGAGGAAGATCAGTAAATAATGCCTTGGATTGGAGGAAATAGATGTGAGAACCCTAACAATTAAAGGAGATGAAAGTCATTTATTCTGTAAAAAAATAACTCCTCTGTGGATAATTTTGGAAAATATATAAAGTCCACACAAATGCACTGTGAGAACAACACTTAATTGATGTAGTAGTGCTTTGCTTTTCTAGATTAGTATAGATTTTAATCAATTTTTTCAAATTATTTGGTTTTGTTTTTATAAATATATTATTTATTGCGTGATTTTGTTTGCCAAGATATCCTGAGATAAGAATCCATATTTTGGATATCAATGCTTGAGATTAGAAAAAACAATGTTTCTTTTTGTGCAGTCTCCATTGAAGCTCTCTTTGATGCAATAGAATAAATAATTAATCCAACAAATTTGTAGGATTATTAGTAATGGGATATGGGTGAGATTATTAATCCAATAGATATTAATCTAATTGGATAGTGAATACTACACTAATTTAATATGATTATTAATACTTCACTATTAGTCTTGTGAATCAAACATGACCTAAGGGTGTGTTTGTTTTGAAGGATTAGGGGGTGAGATTGGACTATTAGTCTCACCGGACTAATAGTCCATTGTTTATTTCATTTTTTTTTTGCTCCGGACTAATAGTTCTCCCGGACTATTAGTCCTACAAATATGGGACTATCCTATCCCATGGGGGAGGTGAGATAGAAACCATGGGATTGGTATCCCATGTGATTATTTTGTGAAATGTCCATTTTACCCTCCATGCTATTACTTAGCAAACAAATAGAAAATGAGAAAATAGTTTTTTGAACATTTATAAATTATTTTTTTAGCGTTGTTAATTTAAAATTATATATTAAATAAAAAATTTAAATTATAAATTTAATTTAATTAAAAATAATAAATTATAAATAATGGCCTTATAAATTAAACTTTTTTAGTGTTGTTAAAAAATTAAATTTACATATTAAATTAAATTATTTTTTTAGTGTTGTTAATTTAAAATTATATATTAAATAAAAAATTTTAATTATAAATTATAAATTAAATTTAATTAAAAATAATAAATTATAAATCTCCCTATAAATTGGGAGAGTGATCAATCTGGAAGGGAGAAAGAAAAGAAAAGGAAAGAAAGAAGAAAAGAAACAGAGAAAGAAGGAAAGAAAAAAGAAAAGAATAAAAGGAAAGGAAGGAAAAAAGACGGAAGTTAAAAGAATTTTTTGACAGTAAAAAATAAGAGTAAAGTATTAAAGTTAAGATAAGTTATATTATATTTTGAATTATTAAAATTTATTTTACGTATGTTTTGACTTACTAAAATCTGTTTTACACAAGTTATGTTTTTAATAAAAGTTTCAGTTACGTAGTTTTATTTCTGAACCCTATTTCCTTAAAAGGAAACTCATTGATATGTCTGTTTATATTTTAAAGAATATTTGACTATGACCTTATAAACAATTATGTTTTGTAAGTACCACCACGGGAGTCTCACGCCTTGGGAGACTTAAATAACCATTGGCCTCTGTTTGACCACTTCGTGCTCCTCTGTCTGTCATGGATCTATTGACCTCTGTTCTGTGCGGACCAAAGTGCTGTGCGGAGCTAAGTGCTACACTGTTGTGAGAGCTACCTCTAGAATTCGTACGAGCCACCTCTTGAATTCGTACCTCTGTTCTGTGCGGACCAAAGTGCTGTGCGGAACTAAGTGCTACACTATTGTGGGAACCACCGCTAGAATCCGTACGAGTCACCTCTTAAATCCGTACCTCTGTTCTGATTGTCACTTCTGTGACCTCTGCTCTGTTCTGTTCAGTACCGTGGTTATGGTGATATATTTACATAGTTTCTGTATTTTAGTTTCTGACATTTAAATGATTTATGAAAATAATCTCAGTTTTGCTACTTAAAGGATTATTTGTTCCGACTAAGTTATCGGTAAATGTTTTGGCCTAAATAACTATCTATGGTTATTTCGTGTCCCTTATACTCTTGGTATAATATTTCTCACCTACCATGTGCTTATAACTTTTTACCAATTTTCAGGAAACATGCAATTCAGAAATAGCTTTTGGAAAGTCTTAGATGCGGGACTGCGGAATAGACACATACAGCACTTTTATGATATTTTTCTATGTAAATATCGACCTTTTTGGTCAATAAGTCTGTAATAAAAATAGAAACTCCGATGATTATTTTGGTACCCTTATTTAAATATTACTTCCGCTCGCATTTATTGATTTGTTTATGAATTGGCCGGAGGTAACATCAGTTAGTGGCCATCACATGCTTAACCCTTGGGTACGGGGAGCGGGTTGTGACAATTTGGTTTTGTTTTTATAAATATATTATTTATTGCGTGATTTTGTTTGCCAAGATATCCTGAGATAAGAATTCATATTTTGGATCTCAATGCTTGAGATTAGAAAAAACATGTTTCTTTTTGTGCAGTCTCCATTGAAGCTTAAGTCTCTCTTTGATGCAATAGAATAAATAAATACCTTAAGGGTATGTTTGATTGGGTGGATTAAAGCATGAGATTGAAATTATTAATCCGTGTGTCCAATTATCCTATGTTTGCTTTAATATTTTGGTGTAGGATTATTAATCCAATAGATAATTAATCCAACAAATTTGTAGGATTATTAGTAATAGGGTAGGAGTGAGATTATTAATCCAATAGATATTAATCTAATTAGATAGTGAATACTACACTAATTTAATAGGATTATTAATACTTCACTATTAGTCTTGTGAATAAAGTATGACCTAAGGGTGTGTTTGTTTTGAAGGATTAGGGGGTGAGATTGGACTATTAGTCCCATCAGACTAATAGTCCATTGTTTGTTTCATTTTTTTTTTGCTCCGGACTAATAGTTTCCCCGGACTATTAGTCCCACAAATATGGGACTATCCTATCCCATGGGGGAGGTGAGATAGAAATCATGGGATTGGTATCCCATGAGATTATTTTGTGAAATGTCCATTTTACCCTCTATGCTATTACTTAGCAAACAAATAGAAAATGAGAAAATAGTCTTTTAAACATTTATAAATTATTTGTTTAGCGTTTTTAATTTAAAATTATATATTAAATAAAAATTTTAATTATAAATTTAATTTAATTAAAAATAATAAATTATAAATTATGGCCTTATAAATTAAATTTTTTCTAATGTGTGAAATGTCCATTTTATCCTCATGCTATTATTTAGTAAACAATTGGAAAATGGTAAAATAGTCTTTTGAACATTTATAAATCATTTTTTTAGTGTTGTTAATTTAAAATTATATATTAAATAAAAAATATAAATTTAATTTAATTGAAAATAATAAATTAAAATAATTAAAATATTGTGCAAAAAATAAAATAAAATAATTTTTTATTTAATCTAGTAAAAATAATTAAAATATTAAAGCTATGTTTAATATTACTATTAGTTAGTAAATAATTGAAAACGATACAATAGTTATTTGAGCATTTATCATTCTCTAAAATATTCCAAACAAACATTGGATAACTAAAAATAGTTCAATTCAGACATCTAATCCCATGACTAAACAAACATAATATACAAATTTAGTCCAACCAAATAGTTTCGGGACAATGTATCCTAGAACTAATAGTCCGATGAATTACAATCCTCCCTTATTTAGTCTGTCCAAACAAACGCACCCTAAGCGTATGTCAAGTCGCTATTAATTGTAACCTACTTGTAGTATAAATAGGTGATAATTTTTTATTAATAGAATAAGCATTTTGTAATGCAAATAAAATGCAATCAAGAATTTAAAATCAAGAGAGAGAAAGCTACAATTACGGGGTAAATCTTAAGGTCCCGTTTGTTTGGAGAGTTAGAGGGGGGATTGAGATTGGTAGTGAGGTGGGACCCACTAATATTGTGTTTATTTTGAGAGATGGAGAGGGGATTGATAGTGAGCTCCGGATTAGGATGAGCCTCTTCAAGGGGACTCGGATGGGCCTCCAGGACTTGGTATTAGAAAAATAGTTCGGGAGACTAGAAATTTTTTATTTTTATTTATTTATTATTTTATTTTTTACATGTTGAGCATTTTTTTTGAACATTAATGTTTAATTTTTTATTTTTTTTGTTAAGTAAAAATCATTATTTTATTTGTTTTATTTTTTTTTGGAAATTTTTTTATTAATTTTTTAATTTTTTTTACATGTTGGGCATTTTTTTAAAAATATTAATGGTTAATGTTTTTGTATCTTTTTTATCTATTTTATATTTAATTTATATAAAAATAATTTAATAATTTCTACACTAATAACTATCATAAAAATAAATATAATTTTATTTAATTTTCTCATTAATAATCTCCTCATTATTAATTTTTTTTATTCGATCTTTGAAAATAAATGGGCTAAGGGTTAGAGAGAAACCAAGGCTCTATCCCAATCAAAATGTGTATTATTTTAATTAAAAAAACTAAACAAATTGACCCATACATCATCAATTTATAGACCACACCTATTAGGAAAATGCTAGAGACCCCAAATAATCTACCAAATGTTTTATCAAATATTTCATACCCATGTGAGACCTACACAAACCCACGTGTGTGTAGGTCCCACACCCATGTAAGAGATTTAATAAAATATTTGATAAATTATTTGGGACCTCTAGCTTTACTCCACCTATTAGCACACTTAACCCACGAAAGTGGACATACAACTCATTTTGTTCTCTCTCTCTCATCAGTGAAGGGAGGTGTTGAAGAAATCACAATAGGTACCGTATCTTTCTTCCACAAGGATTTCAGCTCTCACATCCCACAACAACCCCCTTATCCCATAATCACCTCTCTCTCTCCTTCTCCCTCTTTCTTGATATATATATAAGGTTGAGTCGATTACGATTCTATCTATCTGCTTCCATATATCTACAATCTACAAAAATTTGTGGGTTTCAAAAAATAAAATTAGGGTTTTGCTTTGATTTTCCAAAAAAAAGTGGGCTTTGTTTGTCTCATTTTGTGATTTATTTACATGGGTTTTTAATTATTTAATTACAGTACAATTTGCTTTTATCAGATAACAATGTGATGTGCCTCTGATGTTTTACTATGTGGGTTGTATTTTGCTTTGTATAATTGTGATGATCTTCATTCAAAACTTGATATTTTAGAGATATTAAATTGGGATAAAATTTGTGAAACCTGATAGTAAGGGAGATGCTATTTCATGATATATTTGACGTTTGATTTATTAACAATTTCTATATTTCTTCTTCTTCTTCTTCTTAAGCCTTTTGTTTGTTTTATGTATTCTGTTCTCTAATAGGTTGTAGAAGTACTATATTTGTCATGTAATTTCAAGTTTGCTGGATTTCCTTTCATCCAGGGGTATGGAGATGATGATGAAGCGGGGCTTCTGGGAGTATTCTGGAGTGATGGAATGAAACCCTTGATTTGATTACCTTCAGCCAAAACAAATTTCTTCTTTGTATATGTGTACATATTATTTAGAGAAATGACGAGTGAATCTTCCATCGAAATCCACCATACTCGTATCATTCTACGAACAGCAATTGCATCGAGAGTCCTACTCATAGCCCTAATCATTCTATGGAGGTCACTCCTCAGCCCCTATGACACTTCCGCCTCCATAAATCCCGTTTGCCTCTCTAGGTCTTCGCCAAACTCAACTTCCATTCTCTTCCCTCGCATTGCCTCGGCAATCGGCAACAGCATTGTCTGGGATGGTGTATACTTTGTGCGCATCGCACAATGCGGCTACGAGTACGAGCAATCCTACGCTTTTTTGCCTCTTCTCCCTCTCTGTATCACTTTGTTATCGCGAACAGGTCAGTCAATTCAATGGTTTTGTTCTGTAGCTGTTGACATTCAGTCGCAGGCTTGGTTTGGTTTTTAAATGTCGGTGTGTGTTTGTTTGTTGTTCCAGTGTTTGCACTCCTAATTCCAGTTATTGGGTATAGAGCTGTCTTGGGACTGTCTGGATATGTAATTAGTAACGTTGCTTTCGTTTTGGCTGCAATTTGTTTGTACAGGTGAGTTCCTTGCTAATTCAATTGGGTCTTGATACATTTATGTATATGCATGTATTTGCATCGGTGTATTAAATGCATGTATATACTCCTTATTTGTCTATGCATATTTTTGTGTATCATTTGAATGTAAAGGAAAAGTTCCTTTAGTTATTAATTTTCTCCAGAAGAAGAGTAACTTAATATTTAAAACGATGGAAATGATGCAGTTGGTATTCAAGAGGAATATATCGGTGTTTGTACAAAACAGGCCCAATAAATTGGTTTGTCTAAGCTAGCTACGGCTGGCATATAGATAAGCAACACATACAATTAAGTTCAGTACTGTTATCAAGGTTGTATAGTGAGGTGAGCATTTATTGTTTAAAAATGATGACACCCATACCCATATAAATAAACATGAACATGTTCCTCCATGTTTATATATGTATATTGATCTAGAAATGCATATGCTTTTGCACTTCTGATCATTTATTTCCTACCTTGTTCTCTAACAGGCTCTCAGTTACCATTTTGAAGGACCGAGAAGGAGCACTGAGAGCATCAATTTTGTTTTGCTTCAATCCAGCTTCCATATTCTACTCATCGATGTATTCTTCTTATTTTCATTCCTATATTCATATTTAAACTGAAAATAAATAGACTCTGCATTACCTTTTTTGTGGGTTATTTGCAGATATACTGAAAGTTTATATTCTTTATTATCAATTGGAGGATTATATCAGTTCATGTCTGGTGCAAATAATGTTGCAACACTTTTGCTTGCCCTCTCTGGTACTGCAAGGTCAAATGGGGTGATTACCGCAGGTTATATATGCTATCAGACTATGCACAATGCTTATGATGCTGTCTTTTGTAGAAGGCATTTCTTTGTAAGTTTTACTTATTTTATTTGAGTGCCACATACTAGTTGCAGTTGATTGTACCATCCTTGGGGATGGGGATTATATGGGAGGGATAAAGCCAGAGAGGGTTGATTTTCATTAGTGTAACAATATGTGAGCTGTTATATGCATTGAATTGGTTTAATCTTGCGTATCTATTGTATTATGTAAAGAACACAGCTCACTTGGCGTGAACATCATTTTAAGCTTTGTCACAACAGCAATGTTATTATCTAAGAAGCATGGGTACAAACACGCGACACGACACGGACACGCCGACACGCTAATTTTAAAAAAATGCAGGACACGACACGTGGGGGACACACATGAAATATATAATTTTATATATTTATTATATATTATATATATGAATATATCATTCAAAGATAATAAAAAATGCAATGTGACATTAATTCTTATAAATTTATATGGTTTTTGTTTTATTATTATATCTTAAATTATTTTGTTCAAACTTATAATTAGTTTCCCTTGTGTCTAATAATCGTGTGTTTAAACAATAGACATATGTGTCCTCCAAGTATCCAGAGAGTGTCCATGTCTTTAAAAAAAAATTAAAAAATAGAACACGTTTTGAAGAGTGTCGGACACGTGTCAAAGAAGTGTCCAAAGAGTGCCGGTGTCCGACATGGATATATCACCTTTTTAGAAGTGTCCGTGCTTCTTAGGTTGTTATTTATCTTTGCTTGGCAGTTACACTAAGGACCAAAAAGTAGAATCAACAAATCAAAAACCTCTACATGTTGAGTTCCCCACGCATCTCGTGTACCCAAATGCTAGTAGCCTAGTATATATATAGGTCTCGTTTGGAAAGTTGGCAATTTTAGTAAGTTATTTTAGTTTTTGGCTATTTTAGTAGGCTAAAATATTTGTGTTTGGGAAGATGGTTGGATTTTTTTATAGTTGGATGTGATGTTTGTTAGAGAAAAAATGAAATGATTATGGATTTGATGTGATATTTTGTCTTATTGGCTATTTTAGTCTATTTTGTCTTTTTGTGGATTTTAGCCCAAAAAGTCCAAAAAAAAAAAACCTTTGCCAAACAAAGCCCTAAAGGTTGAGCTATTTTCTGTTTGTTCAATTTTGCTGAAAGCATTAACTTTGATCTCAAGTTCTACAAATTTGGAGGGTGTTCCATACAATTCCCATGTAAAATGTAACCTGTAAGATGTGGATGTAAGTAGTTGCAATTTGGAACTGATTTTGCACATTTCTATTCTTACATGCACATTTTGTCACCTTCAGCATTATCTACTGCTTACCTTGATTTTTACTAGTATTAATCTAGAGGCAATCAATAGAATAAGACTGTAAGAAGCCTTCCCATTTATTGAAGAACAAAAAATTATTTGATTGTGTGCTTCTTGATATTTGTAGACATAATAGTTAGCCTCATATAACTCAAGTTTGTTTCCTTTCCCATAGGGTGGTCCTCAAAATATTTTCTCTCAATGTTAAAGGTTTGCCCATGTTAGAGAGTATCTAATAAGTTTGATAAAGTGTGCCAAATTATGAGTTTTGCTTTTAAATTATGGACACATCAAGAGGAGTTAGCTATGTGTCCAAGAGTGTCTCGAGGTCACTGTTGCATATGAAATGATAATGTAGGATAAGTGGAACAAAATAAGCTCTTATGAGCTCTGATACCAACAACTACGCAGGACAGCACTTGAATTTTCAAAATAGTGTCAGCATAATTAATTTTAAGATAGGCTAAGGTTATGGAAGCTTGTAAGTTTAGAGGGTTTAAATGGTAGAAATTTGGTGTAAGTTTTTGTTTTTGTATTTTTTAATGGGTGGGAGAATGTTGTGGTTTGCTCTAGTTCAAAGTTGGTAGCAGTGTTGGTGAATATGTGAGGCTCACTTAAGTGCAAAGGCCACTTTAAGCTTTAGGCGGAAAGCACAAGCACGGACCAAATTGAAGTAAATCACATTTCAAATAATGTATAATGACAAATGATTCATGATATATAATTAAAAATGTTTAAATAATAAAAAATCTATATATTTAACTTTTTAACTATATGGTTGAGTCTTGTGTAATTTGTACAGAGGTTGCCAGTGCAAATTTTACAGACTTTGTAGTGTTTTTTTTATTGGCACTGAATTGTCCAGATCAAAGCCTAACTAATCCCCAGGGGTGCACAAGCCTTCGGCAAGGAGTTTCTAGCAAGTACACCACGGTTAATTCAAGAGTTTTTCCCCAGTCCGATGGCCCAAGGAATTGTTAGCACTTAAGAGGTTTCGATCCTTGAACCTTAGAGGGAGCACACCTACAAGACTCAAAGCCTTGCCACCAGGCCAATCTCTTGGGGTTATAGACTTTCTAGTTTTTAAAAATTCTGTGAAGTAAATTTGAGAACAATTGTTAATGAATAATTTGATAATCAAATGATCGACTAATCATATAACATTTAAACATAGATTTTATATAATTTCTCTTGTGATTTACAAAATATTAACAATAGCGATGATCAAAAATGAGTACATGGTTGAATCAAAACATACCCAAAACACAGACCAAAAATTACTTGGTGTTCTCTTGTGTGTAGTGTACAATATTGGAATTTATGTAACAAATCATGAGCCCATTCATTTCAATACTATTATAATCTAAAGGTTAAAGTTAATAAAATATATTTTCTTAAACAAAAAATAAAATGCCCAAAAAAGAGAGCTTGAAGCATAAAAGAACACAAAAAAATCGCTTTTGTAAATGCGCTTCACTTTTAACCACTAAAAAGATTTTGTATTGTTGTGCTTTAAGCGTGCTTTTGCCAACATTGGCTGATAGGTTGTTTTATCTTTTGGGTAATTGGTCTCTTCAAATTAGTCAATAGGATATAAAAAAGAGTTGACCTATGCAATACTAGTTTTCTGACTTAAAACCAAAGAAATCAAGTGCCGGCAAGGACTCGAAAATATGATCCTAGGAGAAAAAGCAGAAGAAAAATCTTCTGAGTATCATCTAGAATACCTTAGGCTTCATCCTCTTTGGTTAGGCTGCAGCACGAATAAAGGGTATGGTATCCCTTTCTTATTTTCAGTTGAATCACTGCCATCTTATAAAGCATGCTGTATTTTTTAGTGAGATTGAAGTATTTCTAGGTCTTCAAGTATGGGAATGAACTTATTGGAGGGGAAATGTAATTTTGTTCCCTGACCTGCAAGCTTTTGATTCCCTCACTGTAGCAGCTTGTAACCTTACAATCCTTTCTTTTTTCTTTTCTGTTTTTTGATGGACAACACGAAAGAAAATTTTATTGAGACAGTCCTTTATTTTCGCTTTCTGGCAAGCAATAGCAGCCTGAATATATATATATATATATAACTTGGAAATTCAGTTACTTACTAGTTATATGGATTGCCTACTATATATCTCGAATTTCTGAAGTTGGCATGCTCATGGATTCCTTCCGTCTTTTTTTCTTTTCTTCCTATGCCAGTTGGCAGTGCAGGTTCTTGCTGCTGGAGCTTTGCGTTGTCTATGTATTTTTATTCCATTTATTGCTTTTCAAGCATATGGATACTATAATATTTGTCTGGGATTTATTCCAGATCAAATGAGACCATGGTGCAAGGCAAGAGTTCCTTTACTGTACAACTATATTCAAAGTCATTATTGGTATGTCATTGATATATTTTCTAGTTAATCTGCCTATTCTCCCTTTTCATTGTCAAAACCATGTCCATGTGCCAGTAAAGATATGCTATCGTATATGTTGTTTTATATGTAGTTTTGCTAATTCTTATGTTCATTTGGATTAGTATAATATTTCTACTTCTAACTCTTTGTGAAATTTTTCCAGAAGAGTATTTAAGGTTTTTTTTCTTCTTCTGTGGGATCTGTGGAGTTTATATCAATGTTAATCATTAGTTTTGAAAGTGCAAACTTAGAATATTGTTGGATATGCTGATGTGAGATTCAAATGTAATTCAAACTAAAAGTAAGGAGCAAGCCTATCACTACATTTTATGTTATTGTTTGGTATTGCATCATTATGATTTTGCTTAGTTGAGTCTATTGGGGCTACAGTAAATTTGTTTTTGATAAAGAGTCCTGTAATTCATATTTTTTATGACTTTCATAAAAGTGTTGATTATACATTTTTATTGTGAACTTACATCGATAATTTCTTGTGTGTCAGGGGAGTGGGTTTTCTGAGATATTTCCAACTAAAACAACTGCCAAATTTCCTGCTTGCATCTCCAATATTATCTCTAGCACTTTGCTCGATCATCCATTATGTAAAGCTACAGCCTGAAATTTTTTTCTCACTGGGTTTCCGAGGTTCACCTGAGGATAATGATTCAGCATCTGTCTCATTTCCAACGGGGTCAAACACAAGAGAAAAAGGTGGTTATTTTCTAGAGGAACACTCTTCTAGAATACATCAAGGTATATCATTTGAAGTCCCAAATAGTTTTGGAGTTGGCACAGAGCCAACCAGTTCACATGTTACTGATTTAAGTAGTTTGGCTAATCAATTATGGCTTTTGGTTACGCCACTTCTTTATGTTTCCAGTGGCCTGGCTATAAAAAAATAGGTGTTTTGACTCATCTGCAATACTTTGATATGTTTTGTTTTTCTACTCATTCGTTTCTGTGCCAAGAATAGTACTTTACACCCACTATATTTTGTTGCAAGCATGATTGTAGCTGAAGGTGTGTTTCTAACCTGGGATATACCATCCTTACCATTGAAGAAGATATTTCATGCTGTTGAGGTGTTTTAGGTCAACTTTTAGTAGTGTGGCCTGCTGTAATATCAACATTAGTTCAGCTGCATTATTTTGTGAGATGCATTGACAGTTTTTGTTGGTAGCTACTTACAACAGTCTCATTCCAGTATTTGTGTTAACAGAAGATCACATTCTTAGACGGAGGAAACAAACAATCAAAGGAGAGGGTCCTGTTACTCTTCCAGCAGAAAATAATTCATCCGATAAATCAAGATATTTATCAGTTATTGTTCTTCCTTTTGTCCTACACTTGGGATTCATGGTGGCCACTGCATTTTTTGTCATGCATGTGCAGGTCAGACTCACACCGATCTCTTCTTTGTTATAAATTATAAATATAAATCCGTACAGTTTTCAAAATTTGAGTGGAGATGCGATGTAGTTAGAATTAGTTTGGTTGTTATGTTTCCAGTACTATAAGAGTAAGTTGTCTTTTATCCTATAAATAGGTGGTTAGCCGCCTCTAATATTCAGTTTATGATATTTTGTGATTGTATTTTCAGAGCATAACAGCTCTTATATCTCTAATTGAGATTTTCTGTCTAATGAAATCTCTTTCCTAAATTGGTTTCATCATTTTGGTATCAGAGCATTAGGTTGTGTTGTTTCTTCAATTCTTGCCTAATTGCACTGTTTGAAATTGGTTGGATAATTACGCGACTGAGTTCTGATCATTAGAGTAACTGGACCTTATACTTCAACATCTGAGTTCAATCATGAAGAACACACCTAGAATTCAAGTTTGATTGTGTGATATCCAGACACTATCGCAAGCTGCGATCTTTTTTCTTCACGATTTCTGAGTTCTGGGTTCGAACTGTGCCTATTTCGGGTCAAGATATCAAGATCGCTACTTGGTTCCTTGAATTTTTCTGGTTCGAACCGAAGGGTTCTTATTTCAGCCTGCAATTCTGACCTGCAAGGTTGCAATTTGGGTTTGATTCGAAGCCCTGGTGTGACCTGGGTACTTCTTGACCTGTTCTTGGTTCAATTCTCTTGTTCAAGATTTGCTGTTTCTGTTGAAGATATTCAGAACTCTGGTAGAGATTTGGGCTGCTGCAAATCTGTTCTTCTATTCGATTTTGTAGTTTGAGTTTGCCCTAGATCACAACTTGCAATCTGAATGAAAACCTCCAGATTTAACCTAGGTGTTTGCACTAAAATTCAAATCAAAGCCCTTGTTGTTCATGATCTGTTTTCAGTGTCTTCTTGTATTTAACTTCACGATTTGAATTTCGATTGGGATTCCATTTCGCGACTCAAGATCAACCTTGCTTGACTTGATTCCTCATTCATGCATCGACCAACGAATCAACTGCTGTAGTCAATTCTATTGGTTGAAATGATACTGTTGTGAGTCCATTCTTGATTTTTGGTTCTTGGTCTTTGATTGTTTGTTTCCTGCTCTGAGATACTGCTGAGAGTCTTTTGAATTGGGTTGATATTAGCTGTTCTATGATTGTGAAACTTTGTCTAGGTCAGAATTTCAGTCTTTACTGTTGTAGTCCATTTCTTTTTGGGTTTGCATTGAAGAGTCGTACTACTTTGTGTTACTTTGCTGAAATTCTGGAACTGGTCTTGTAAATGGCTCAAACATGGTAGGGCATTTGTTGTGACTTTGGAAGAAGAAATCGGGAGGTATCCTTAAATGGATGAACCAATGGTAAACCAAAATCCAAGAAATGAGATTGATGAGTTGAGTTCACAAGTTGCTACCTTGATTGGAAACTTCTTTCCAAAGGTGGTGGTAGTAATGGTTCCAAGGATCATCAACTTGATGATTCCTTCGGTGCTCCGCATAGGCATCAAGCATATTCACATGGGTTTGAATCTAAGTGGAAGAACACTGTCAAGGATTTTGTACTTCCCGAATTTCATGGGAGCCATATCCCAGATGTGTTTATAGAATGTTTACTTCTGTTGAGCTTCTTTTGGAGTACCATGATGTGCCAGATGTAAAGAAGGTGAAAGTTGTCTCTCAAAGCCTCAAAGGTAGAGCCGCTGATTGGTGGAAACAATTACAAGTTGATAGGCAAGAAAAGGCCGAGAAAAGGTTAGAAAGTTGGAGGAAGATGAGAAAGAAGCTCAAGGAGCACTTCTTGTCTTCTAATCACGTGTTGTCTTTGTTGGTTCAGAAGCAACAAAAGAAGGGCATTTCAAGTTCCGAACATCAATACCAAAGCGGCTTTGCAATCGGACAACCATCTTATGACTATGTCCAAGTCGGCTACTCAACTAGTGTTGGAGTGAAAGAACTTTCGATGATGGACGTCATCATAAGATGCTCTTTAGTGACGAGGTGGTTGAACTAAGATATGATGAGGAAGAAGCTTCTATCTTTGTTGAAATTGTGGTTAAGCTCTTTCCATTTGTGATGAAGATATTCCCATCTTTGATCAAGATGTGGAACAAGACTATGATCAAGTCAAGATGTTGCCTTCTTTGACTACGATAGTGTGGCGTTGGCTTATGAGGAAATTGATGTTTGTGAATATGAAGAGGAAGTTGATAGTTGTGAATATGGAGGGGTTCCAATCTTTGACCACTATGATGATAACGATGACCTTCTTTTAGAGAGTGAAGGCATACTTGAAAATGTTTTGTCGATGAAACAAGTTTTGCTCTTACATTGATTCCCATGAAGGAAGTCGTGGCAATCCCACCTTCGATCCCTTTTAGGTTCCAAGATGATTATGGTGGAGAGTCATGAAGTTGAAGTTTCATAGGTGTTGGATGTTGCTTCCTCGAATGCCCTCATATGCTATCTTCAAAGTCATTTGTGCCATTTTGTGTTCATTTGATACACAGCCCAACTTCGTGGAGGAAGGATGAGCTTTTTTTGGAACCATGCGAGTGCTGTTATTTTGATGACATCTTGCTTCCAAAATGACATGCTATATGGGTGGCCTATTCACACCTCAAGATGGCTTCGGTTGATGTGCATAAGCGAGAACTCGTTTTGATGAAGGGATATATGCTAGGGTGCTCTTGAACAAGGACTTGCAATTGCTTAGTCTTGTTCAGCATTGCATGTTCATTTCCATGAGTCGTTGTTTTGAATCATTTTGTTGATTACGGTCTTGAGTCAGTTTGGCGTAGTTCCAACTAGAGGACAAGTTGTTTTTCTTTAGAGGGGGAGTCTGTTGTAGTTAGAATTAGTGTGGTCGTCATGTTTCCCGTACCATAAGAGTTAGTTGTGTCTTTTATCCTATAAATAGGTGGTTAGGCCCCTCTAGGCTCTAGTATTCAGTTTATGATATCTTGTGATTGTATTTCCAAAGCTTGAGAGCCCTCGTATCTCTAATTATGATTTTCTTTGTAATGAAATCTCTTTCCTAAATTGGTTTCATCAAGATGATCTTATGACTAGTGATATTAGTCAGAAAGCCAAAATTAAAAATTTGAAACGGATCATTTTAGCTTTGGTTAGCAACTGTTGCATGTTTCAGGTCAAATTTTCTGGTAAAGTTTTTATGATGTGCAAAGATGGGTGGAATAATTTGGTACCTAATATTATTTTTCTTATGTTCTCTGTGTGCTATTTTTGTTTTTATTAATCTTTCTTTTCTTTTCAATTTCTTAGTTTCTGCCGCCTCTTTCTATTCATATTTTGCGACAAAACAACTTTTTTTTGCTCAACCTTGTCCTTCTGGAAATGAAGTCACACATCATTGTTCATAAGGAAAAGATGAGAGTTCATGAAATGCCTGTACTAATGATGTCAAATATTTAATAGGTTGCAACTCGTTTCTTATCTGCCAGTCCGCCTCTCTATTGGTTTGCCTCACATTTAATGGTGTCTCCTGGAATTGGTAAGAGATGGGGGTACTTGATATGGGCATACTGTGCAGCCTACATCCTTCTTGGCAGTTTGCTCTTCTCAAACTTCTATCCTTTCACTTGAGGAGTCTTGATACTTTGTTCTTTTTGACTTCTGGGCTCCTGAGAAACATATATGCACCTTGAGCTGCTGCAAACAGTTGATTGTTGCATGCGTTTCACTTTGATTTGGGAGCAATGGATGTCAAAACTAGCATGTAACAAGTTCAATATTGGTGAAACATTTTTTTGCTATGGATGAGTGGATTAGGGAAATAGGAATCCTATAATTAATCCCATCCAGCAGAGAGATGATATGGCCTAGTTACCGTTAATATTGTCTCTCATGGACGCCCAAATGTGTATTATTTGGAGCGACTGATGGGAAGCACCATCCCTGTGCTCGTGAGAAAATCAACATTTTGTGCTTCTCAATTTGTAACTTTTATTGGCAATGCTCGTGATTTTGTAGATTAACCTTTGCAGAAATGTGGAATTATTATTTTATTCAGAATTATTTTTGTTCTCCCAAGTATATTATGCAATGTTGATTAATGTATTGGTAACCTAGAAAAATGCTTCCTACCCCCAGCTGGGGGTGACACCCAGTGAGGTGTCAGCTGGGGGGTTGGAAGGAAAAAAACAGTTTTTCTTTTTATTTTTTATTTTTTTGATTTTCGACCAGTGGGGGCGCGCCACGTCACTGGGGGCCCGACCCCCACTGGGTGTATGAAGCATGGTTGACCTAACCTATAGGCTAAGTTTGAATAGCAGGTATTTTGAGGTTGAATGGTATTTGGTTTTAATTTTCTGAATTAAATTTTTGGAAATTGAGTTTTTTTTTTTTTTTTGAATATTTTAAAATTTTAAGTAATTTTTTTACTCTTTCAAATACATCTTGCTTAGATGTGTCTAAAATATAAATATTTAAAAAAATTAATAAATACACAAGAATATAAAAATGTATTAAATTTTCATTTTTTTTGTTGGTATTTAGTGAATTAAATTTTTTTTTTTTAATAAATATTATACTTTTTATGTGTATTTATATTAGATGTATCTAAAAATTAAAAAAATTGCTTAAAATATAAAAATATTCAATGAAAATAAAAAAAATATGAAAAAAAAAAATCTAATTTTTTGAAAAGTGAATCTAGAAAAGTAAAACCAAACAAGTTAATTCTGAGTGTACATGATTCTAGGGTTTTGAACGGATTAGAATAGAAATACAATTGCGGATAGGGATATAATTGGTTCGGTACGATCAATATTTAGGGAAAAATTTTCGCCGAACTGAATAATGTCGATTTTATTATTTTGAGCATTAATACATACCGCTTCTCTTATCAAACTGTACTGAACCGAACCAATTGAAACGGTACAGTTTAAAAGGTTTAGGATCTTTAAACTTGAACTACTTTTTAGTATAGTCACTAATTTATATAAAAATATTAATTTAGTTATTTCTACACTATTTCAAATCGTATCCAATCTATATATTTAATAAATACTTTTTAATTCCTAAATTAACAAAAATACAAACAAAAAATAAATGAATAAAAAATACTAAGATTTCAAAAATAATGAATTAGAGTTAAAATTATATATATAATAAGAGTTTACAAATTAGGTTATAGAAATGATAAGATTAATTAATTATTGTTAATAAGTTATTATACTTGTTAATATCATTATATTTTTAGATTATATATTTATAAATTATAAATACGATGAAGCGGTCAGTTTCGGTTTTGTTCGGTATACAAGGTGTTTGAACTAATATCGAACCGAAAATCGAAAAAAATCAAATTAAAAAGTCGCACAGACCGATTCTTGTTTTAAATAAAAAAAAAAAAACAAATATAGCTGGTGTGGTCTAGTTCAAATGATTTGATTGATTTTTTGATTTTTCTTACCCCTAATTGCAGATCACTTATTCAAGTAGAAATCACATTATCAAACTAAGTGATTGTTTGATAACTTAATTCATTACTTACAATCAAATTCATTTAGTAAAAGTAAATTAAATTGATTTGATAACAAAAATTAGTGTTACCAAATAAGATAAGCTGCTCCTAAAAAAAACAATCAAGTAGAAATATGACTGATAGAATAAATTAAATTGATTTACACGTCTGTTCATAATAGATAAAAAAATAATAATTTAGAAATCATCCTCAAAACAATTCTAATTGTTGAACACAAAATACGCTCAACTAATTAATTGCGAAAAGTAAAAATTTGTAATCGAATTTGCGAAAAGTATAAATAACTAATTAATTGCGGAAAGTAAAAATATGTAAACGAGATGTAAACGAAATATGAGGGAATTTTTGAGAAATGTACCCACTTTTGTCATTTTTTAAAGGATCTGGCTTTGGTCCAGTCCGCTATCGGACTGGACCGTCCTATTGGGCTTGTGGAGATCCATCACGGGTTCCGTTTTAAAAATCTGAACGGTTCAATGTGTAGAATTCGTCGAATACTATATGCCTGTGAAAAATCACGTTGATCGGATATCGATAGTTATGTGATCAAATCAGTTTTGTATAAAAAAAAATAGAGGGTGAATAAATTAACGGTTTATAAAAAACTATTTTGATCACGTAGCTATTGATATTCGACCAACGTGATTTTTCACAAGCATGTAGTACTCGACGAGTTCTATACATTGAACGGTTCAAATTTTCAAAACAAGACCCGTGGTGAGCCTCCACGGACCGAACAACACAGTCCAATCCGATGATAGATTGGACCAAAGCTAGGCGCATTTTTAAAATACAGAATCCATAAAAAAAAAACTAGAAAAGTCGAGTCTATCAAAAAGTTCTACTGCCAATAGGACATCATTTACAATAGACTATGGCTCCGTTTGGCAAGTTGGGTTGGGATTTTTTTAGCTATTTTAGTCATAAAAGACAAAATAGACTATTTTAACCACAAAAAACAAAATATCACATCCAACCCATAATCATTACACTCTTCTCTCACAAAAAAGGTCAAAAAAGCTAAAAAGCCAAAAAGCTCTTCCCAAACCAAGCTTTTTAGCCCAGGCTAAAATAACCAAAAAAGCCAAAAAATCAACTCACTTCCCAAACCAAGCCTATAAACTAAGAGCGTTATCAGTCTCAACAAATTTTAGATTAAATTATAATTTAAAATATATTTTTATTATTTTAGTTAGATATATTTTTATTATTTTAGTTAGTCACTTTTTTAGTACTCACTGCATCAAACTCTCTATTTTAACTCAATTTTATTAAAATATTAATTTCTTATTATATTTGTTATTTTTTTTTTTATTAAATTGATAAGGTGCCATCCAAACAATTCTTAAAAAATATAAAAATACACCAAAAAACATTAAACGGTTCAAATTTTCAAAACAAGACCCGTGGTGGGCCTCCACGGACCGAACAACACAGTCCAATCCGATGATAGATTGGACCAAAGCTAGGCCCTTTTTTAAAATACAGAATCCATAAAAAAAAAAACTAGAAAAGTCGAGTCTATCAAGAAGTTCTACTGCCAATAGGACATCATTTACAATAGACTATGGCTCCGTTTGGCAAGTTGGGTTGAGATTTTTTTAGCTATTTTAGTCATAAAAGACAAAATAGGCTATTTTAACCACAAAAAACAAAATATCACATCCAACCCATAATCATTACACTCTTCTCTCACAAAAAAAGTCAAAAAAGTTAAAAAGCCAAAAAGCTCTTTCCAAACCAAGCTTTTTAGCCCATGCTAAAAAAGTCAAAAAGCCAAAAAGCCAACTCACTTCCCAAACCAAGCCTATAAACTAAGAGCGTTATCAGTCTCAACAAATTTTAAATTAAATTATAATTTAAAATATATTTTTATTATTTTAGTTAGATATATTTTTATTATTTTAGTTAGTCACTTTTTTAGTACTCACTGCATCAAACTCTCTATTTTAACTCAATTTTATTAAAATATTAATTTCTTATTGTATTTGTTATTTTTTTTTTTATTAAATTGATAAGGTGCCATCCAAACAATTCTTAAAAAATATAAAAATACACCAAAAAAACGAAAAAAAAAATTTCGTTGACTGGTTGACCGGCTGGCTGACCGGTTAGACTAATTTTTGACATTTTTTCTTCTTCTGCTATAGGCACTCACAAGACATCCGGTGGGATATTCGGGGGGACATCCGGGTGGACGACCGGTTTAAAGATTTTAGCCCAGTTTTGCTCTAGAAAATATAATAAAAAATATGTAGCTAATGAACAGTGCCACAACAAAATTGTTAAGGCACTGTAGCAAATCTAACAAAAAGTTAATTTACAAAAGATTTGTTGAGCATGATGGAGGAACAATTTTGTGATTTACTAGCTATATTTTACCTTTTTGTTATTTTGACTATACTGATGCGGATGCTCTAAAAGGGCCTATTCTATCCAAAACTTGTCTTACACCCTTTTGTACATATATTATACAAATTCAGTCTCCCTTTTCTTTTTTTTGAAAAAGATAAATTGTGTCAGATAAAATTTGGTTAATCTTATCATTTTTCTTAGGATTTTTTTATTGATAAATCCAATTTAGAGGTGTTCTATCCCAATAAGTCCACAAAAGAAAATTATAACCTAATTAGTCCTATGTATTTATACTTTTATTCCATAAGGTCTTTTTTCCCTGATTTATATTTTTTGTTAAACTATTATACCCTTATATCTATTATTGATATATATTATATACAAGAATGATATACATATTTCCCTCTATTTTTGTTGTGGTAGGGTTTTGTTCCTATAGAAGAGAAGACGACGATACAGAGTTTGTGGTAGTGTTTCATTGTAGTAGAGTTTCATTCTTGTAGGAAAGAAGCTGATGACTCAGAGTATGTGCTCTTGTTTTTTCTGTCATAGTTACTATTTCAGCTGGAAATCAAAGGAAAAGATAAGGATTTGAATCGAAGGACTGGATAAGATGGCTTACAAACTTGTTTAGTCGATTGATTGAAACCCACATTCGACTGGATTGAATCAAAGGGGAAGAGGAGATAGAGGAGTTTGTGCTCTGTTTCTGGTTTTTCTGTCAATTAGTGTGAATGTTCACATTTCATATTGTTCTTCTTTCGGATGATGTTCTTTTTTTTTTCACAATTGTTAAAATTATCGCCCACCAAGTGTTTGATTATATGTTCAAATGAGAAATTCAGTAAAAAAAAGTTGTTCCCATTGGAAACATCTCCAGTGATATTTGCTTGGGCTAGTGAACATGATTTTGTTATTGTCATTGATTTTGATTTTTTGTTATTGGATTTCAATGTAGTAATGATTTTTTGAGATTGGTAATGTGTTTGATATAAAAATAATGTAAGTGTTCATATTATTAATCAGTGTTAATATTCACATTAATTTGAATTGAAAATTTATCATGTGAATATTAAACACATTCATGTGAATATTCACATTACTTTTGTTCATATTACTTTTGTTTTCATATCCACATTTATGTGAATATTCACATCTCCAGTGATATTTGCTTGGATAAGTGAACATGATTCTGTTAGTGTCATTGATTTTGATTTTTGTTATTGGATTCAATGTAGCAATGATTTTTTGAGATTTGTAATGTGTTTGATATAAAAATTATGTAAATGTTGATATTATTAATCATTATTAATATTCACATTAATTTGAATTGAAAATTTGTCATTGTGTAGTTAATTTATGTTAATATTAGTCACACACCCATATAATATTGAATGATGAATATGTTTTTGTTGTGTTTATTACCACTATGACAATGTGATGTTAAGGTTCACATCAGTATTGCATCAAATTACACAACCACAAGCCTC